CTCTGCTATAACCGCAAAGTAGTCTCGAGTTATCGCGTTTGATAGACATCGCAGACACTGATCCCAAATCACTGTCTGTACGGAGACATGATTTCATCACTTGTCGTAAATCTTAAAACACATCAAAAATAATCAATTTAGTAATTGTGGGCACAAATACGCGACAGTCATGTGATACCAAAGACGAGAACAAATCCATGCGATGTCCCGATAGCGACGTAAAGTGTGGAAACGGTAAGCGCTGTCGGCTTTCCACCATTGATGCGATCGGTGTCTGCGGACTTGATTTGAGCAGATATTGCCTTCAGAATCGAGTGCCGTATAACAGATCCATTGAATGACACACTTCTCGCTATGGATTCATTGGATGGAAGCGCTGTCGACGACTTTCTCGCCACTCCTCTCGACTCAAAACTACTGATCGAAGAGTTTTCAGTTGATTCGAGAAATTCATTCAAACCACTTGTCGTGTCGATTGCCTCCAATTGAAGATCACTATCGATGGAGTCGTTGTCTTCCTATGAATGTAATTACCATTCAAGACAACTAATGGTATGATAATCACATCAATTGATACCTCATTGAGAATACTGTCGATTGTGGGAAGCGGTCCATCGATGGCCGGAATGGCAAACTCTTTGTCGTCAATCTATTGAATAATAAACGTTTGTATCAATTGATGTAACACCAGAAGAATGATCACTAGACAGACCTCATCCAAGTGGTCATCGAGAGTGAGATCTTCTAACAAAATACTAGACATTTGTTGGCATTCAATGTAAACATCAAAACATATGATTTGTTGACAAACAGTATTGACTCTACTCTACGGTAGACTACACTGTAGTCACACTGTATTCTCATTTGTCAATACATTTACATGTTTTCGGTAATAATTGTTAAACTATTTTAAACACAATTAAATGTCATTTTAGAAATAGTTTTATTTATAAATAAAGTGAAAACAAAATTAAGTTTTTGTAAATATTTTTTTATTTAGTCAATAAAACGGACAAAATATGAACCCTTTTATTGGTTTCTCATTCGCTTGAATTCCATCTCAATATACGATAATTGAAAATAAAAAGTTATTTTTAAAGAAACATCTATTAAATTGCTTTCAAATATACAATATATAACTAAACATCTTTTTAAAAAATCCAAATTTCAATGAAAGTAATTTTCAAATTCACATCAAATGATAAATTTTATAATTAAGGAAAAAAGTACAATAATATTACAGCAATTCACAGACATTACTATAAATACGTAACGAAACAATAGATTGTCATTCACTTATTTTTCCTCTGTTTCCTCTCCTCCTATAAAAGCAATTAATTAACATTTCATTAAATGATTTGCAAAAATAGTTATTTAATATTCAATAAAATGCAAACCTTTTGCGTCAAAATAATGAGAAGATATCGGAAAATATCGATGAAATCCAAGAACAGAAGAACTGAATGCCTGTTAAGGAAATGACAAATGAATATTCAATTTGCAAATAACCAATCAATTCAATAACTTACGAGATATAGTCGGTGTCTCCGCGGCGTCTCTTCTCAATGATGAGGTTTGTGTCGTACATAATAAAGCCACAGACGACGAAGAATGCCAAATACAAGTGGATCTAAACCATCATAAATACCATTAATTATACATTTATGACACATGTTTGCCGTTACAGGCAATCAATATTCTAACTAATTATTCACACATTGTATAGTTTGCAATCAACTATTCAACTAAACTATATAAAAGTCACTCAAATAATAAGACATTTAATTATAACTCAAAGCTACAGATGGTTTGATTTGGCATCAAATTCTATGCATTCATTTATATTACATTTATTTAATTATTTCCTATATTTTCCATACATTTAATGCTTTGAAGATTAGATGCGTTTGTAATAAACATTTACAATAACTAATAATGCATTCAAGAGTTAGTCAAAGAGATAATAAAATAGCAATTATTACCTGATATAAGAGTTGGGATCCAATGAACAGATTAATGATAGAAAGCATCAGAAGAAGTGAGAGGAATGACATGAGAGTTCCGCCCAAATAAAGCCATTTTCGCTGATCACTGAAGACAGCGCTCAGAGAGAAACAGCCGAATACAACACATGTCGAGAGGAAAGCCGTCGGAATGATCGTCGGGTTAACCAAAATCGCGTATTCCATAAGTGGTCCCAAACCAAGACCTAAACAACAATACAAACCCATGACATGACAATCAATGGCCGCTCAATGCGGTCGACGCCATACCCGATGCGAACGCGAAGCCAATCAAATACCAGAGTCTTGTCGACCGATTCTTGCCGTTGTCTGGAGTGGAGTAGAGAGCGATCACAAACCCGATCGCCACCAATGATGACAGTATACCACCCTTTGGTCACAACAATACACATCATTATTACAGACAATTCATGGCATAACAATCGATGGCTTACTTGTAGTAAATTAGTGAACAAATGGATGTAACCACCGATGGCTGCGCTCAACAGCGCCACAGACATCGAGGAATAGACATCCTTTAAGTGGCTTTGGATTTGCGGTTCACTACAAAAACAAAGAGACAATCATTTGATGTAATGTTTTGGACTCAGGATTGCATTTGTCATACATTTTACGGTTCAATGAATTGAAGAACGAATCGATATTAAAAGAGGCCATCGTTTGGATGTTTTGGACCACACTTTGGATCAAATGGTGGGAAGAGTTGTTGTTTAGTCAACAGACGAGTGACGAGTGATTCAACGCAACACTCAATCAGACACTCATTCACTGCAATGTATGCCTCAAATGAATGCTCAAAACCAACCAATGAGTGCACATTTGGTCATCAATTCATTCAAACAAACCCTTTAAATATGTTATCAGTTTTGGGACTTTTTATTGCAAACACTTTTCACTGCATTTCAATACAAATGTTATGTAGAAAAGGCATTGAAATGAATGCGGTTTATAAGCAAGCAATGAATGTATAATTTGTTATTTATTTAAAGTAAACTATTTGTGAATTTGTTGTCAAAAAATTTAAATCACATTTAGTTTACAATAGATTTAAAACAATGTTTGACTCAATGGTTGGGTATAAAAGACAGGGGAAGAGCAAACGTAAGGCATTTCAATGCAAACCTTTGATCAGAGTATTAAAAAAGTGCCACAAAATGGATGTATTGAAGAACAATATCGTTCAAAAACTCAAGACATGTATGGATGACATCCAACGCGATGTCCAACAGATCCGCAATTCAGTTATTCAAGTGAATGAAAGGGTCGACACAATGAACCACATGTTTAACGTATGTATTTTCATGACAAACAACAACTTAACGACTGTTCACTCCATAGATATTAATTGAGTCCAATGTGATTGACAAATGTGAGGGCACTGGAGGTCAACTCAACGCCGCCACCACTGCTACCGTAACAGCCCATCCCTTACACTCACTGTATGTCTAATCCCTCCCTTTGCTTACCCTCTCTAACGATAGGAATCTTCGCAAACTGTAAACCAAACCCAACAACAGTCCCAACAGTCGGGATCGGGTGGTCAGTCGGACCATCCCTTACACTCACTGTATGTCTAATCCCTCCCTTTGCTTACCCTCTCTAACGATAGGAGTCTTCGCAAACTGTAAACCAAACCCAACAGCAGTCCCAACAGTCGGGATCGGGTGGTCAGTCGGCGCAACAGCCGTCGCCGTTAGCCCTGTTAGCGGCCACCTGTAGTAAAATAGGTTCTCCCTGTGAACTGTCGGCTGAGGGCACTGGAGGTCAACCCAACGCCACCACCACTACTACCGTAAAGCTCGTGAGCGGCGGTCAGAACCTTCAAGAAGTGCGGAGTCTGAAACGCGTGAATAAAGGGCATGTAAGCCCTGTTTGTGAACCTCATGATTTAGGACTGCCTTGACAGTGAGTTGAGTTAGGTGTCCAACACCAGTCATCACGCCGCCGGGTCGGGACGCCCATCAAGAGTATAACATCGGTTGCGAACACCAATGCCTTATCCAACGCCACTCAGATTTACTCGACGGGAACGGCCGCCGGAAACGCCGGCATCTATAGTATTCTTCAGCCGCAACAGCTCCAGATCGATGGACAGGAGGCCATCTTTATTCCCGGCGGCCAACAGGCCATCCAATTGTCCGGCAATCAGTTGATGGCATCACCCAATCAACAGGTTGTCCGCCAACAGACCGCTCAACAGTCCCAACAACAACAGCAGCAAACTGTGTTTATCCCCGGTATCGGCAACGTTACCATTGCTGGCGCTGGTCAACAGTACGCCACCGGCGGACAGACTGTGGCCGTGCGGCAGGGAAATGTGGTGCAGACCATACAACTGCCGGTCCAACAGACAATTCCCGTTCAGGCAATCTCTACACAAAATGGACAAACCATTCTCCAGACCATCCATTTGCCCATTCAAGCGCTCCAATCACTTAACGCCTCTAATATCCAACACCTGATGCCACAAATGCAACAGG